ACTGAGGAGAATCGAAACGTTTATTTTACTCTTCAGTTTATATTACGTTATATTATTCATAACAGAATGATTACGCACGGATACCTGTCAGCTTTTATTGGCACACATTATAATATTAATTGATTTACTCTGTGGAATAAATCTTATTCAGCTCAATTATTAAACAATTTAATTTAAGAAAATGTATTAAATTGGACTCAAATTTAATTGATTATTTACTAAGTTCATGCGTTAATTTTAACGTTATTTACTTTGAAAGTATAACATCAGAAATAGATAGATTTACATTTTGATACACAAAGTGTAAGCATCAATAATAACAAAAATGCTATTTAATTCAAGAAATTGGGTTACATTATTTCTTCGATATCTAGCAGTGTACACATATATTTTTTAATATTATATTGTATAAATAAACAACAGTTACAACATGTGACATAGAAAACTTTTCTTGCTATGGAGTACAGATTATAAAGTTAATTTAATTTCTCTAATTACTATATAGCCATTCAATTAAATTTTTTCTTTCATAATCGGTTTTACTTCAATTATTTTTGTTGTAATATTATTCTTTGTACTTATCGCGATTATTCTTTATGTTTGTCACATATGTTTATATACAGTTTCTAAGAGTTCTTTCGGAAGCTTATTTTTTTCTCGGTATGCTACTTCGCGTCTTTAAATCGCTATTCTGCTTTTTGTTCTGCATCATATCTCTGCTGCTGACACGAACTTTCTCTTTTTTGCATCTCGATCTCTGGTGTAACTTTTTTTTTTTATTGTATTCAGTGAGTGGAGGATCTTTCAAGTATGGCGGACAAGAGGAATGGAAAAGGAGAAAGAGAAAGCATTGATCGTCTTGAAAACAGCTGCCTCGCGTGTCTTCCAAGTCTTAACAGGACGATTATAGACGTATACTTACTCTACGAGGCGGGGCTTCACCAGTCTCTCATGAATGACCCTATTCTCTCAATTATTCAACTCGTATGACCGTCGGTCATTCGCTACTATGAAATTGGATGAAACTTTTGCTTTGGAAAAAAAAAATTTACAATTTAATATTCGTATAGAATAGAGCGCATCTTGATTGGCGACTACTTCTGCCTTTTGCCTTCTTGTTTTTTTTCTTGTTAATATCATAAGTTCTCTGCGCAGAACAACACGAAAATTCAGCGCATAAAAATACTTCGCGTGGCCAATCGCGAATCCTCCGGACTCCGAATTCCACCATTCCGCCTGCGACTTTACGATCCGGCCTCCAACCCGGAGACACTAGCGAGGCGCAGTTTTCCAGTCGCTCCTTTTTATTGGTTCGCGACGAGGACGAACTGTATATACTCGTCGGCATGCTTGTCAAGGACCAGCATCGTCGTTTTCAACGGCAGCTGGGAGCGAACCGCGACTTTGGTCCTCTGGATGCTCGTGTATTCCGGGGTGTATTCCCTCTCTCTCTCTCTCTCTCTCTCTCTCTCTCTCTCTCTCTCTTTCTGTCCCCCTCACCGGCACCCCCGTGACCCCCTCATAAGCGGATTACGTGGGTCCCGAAACGAGCCAAGCGAGGCTCGATGGCACGAGGAAGGTAGCGTGGGGTGGGCTGTAGGGGGGAGCTGTTCAAAATTACGCTATCGCGACCTCGCAACGCTCACGCCCCTCCGCGTCAAACCCCCTTTGCCATCCTACGAGGCAACCAGGCACGGCAACAACCCCCGTCTTCGTACAAGACATCGATGTCACAAGCGTTCCATATTTGAAGACATCGGCGTCGTTCTGTGCGAACGTATTGAGATTTCAATATCGAATCTTGTTTCGCGATAACGGTATAGTTTCTCTGATGGTTACAACTTCCGTTTCTTCCTCTTTCAATTACCGCATTTTGTGAAAAACCATAAAACCATTTACGAAATCATTGATTGATTTAATTTGTAATCGATTTCATTGTCGATACTATACTTCCTTATTCGTATCTTAGAAATGAGCCGCCGAATGTTTATAAACTCCATAGAATTCAATTCAATTTCTAAGAATTATAAGAATTTTGAGCCTTATACAACTAGTTAGAACTTTTTGTTTAAGTACTTTTTAGACTAAGAATTGAAAATCTTTTTATTGCTAATGTAGTGTTAGATAACAAAAATATTTTCAACTATTAATCTGAAATTATTAAAAAAGGAAAATTTCTAATAAGCTACTTGTAATTGAGGAGTGGCTGAGGCATCTATCATACAATTCACTGTTAATTTACAAGCTGCGTTCGTTTTAACGCTTATAGCGCTTGTGAGCATCAATTATCCTTGTTTAATATTTAATACTTAATAAACAACAAAGATGAAATATCGTTCAAAGCGTGGTAAGCGCTAAAGCGAACCTAACCATAATGTCAAATTGTATCCAATTTGAGTTCTTTCCTTTTTCCTAATCATTTCTATGGATTTATTACTACTCATATTCAGTGTGTTAATTTCATTAAAATAATGGAGTTAAACAATTTAACTCAAGAAAATTAAATTTATTAAATTTTACCCAAATTTTTATTATTTATTAAATGTACATATACATTAATATAGCTGTTGTTTACTTTGAAAATAACCACAGAAATGAATTGATTTATATTTTGGACATATATGGACGTCACGTCGGTCACGCGCTTTATTTATAAACATTCGGCAGTTTGTTGCTAAGATACGAGCGGCAAGAGGAAGACAGTAAGCGTTGACAACGAAATCCATCCGAAATGTGCAATTAATCTCAGCTCTGATTTAATAGATTGAAATCGATTCGGTAATTGGCTAAACTTTTTAATTATTCCTTTTGAACGCTGCGTAGAGTAGTTTTGAGAGCGTAACGTAGTAATGCGAATCAGATACATGCCAAAAGAAAATTTCTCGCTGAGACTTATAAACGTAATAATTAATAACGAGCGCTTCCTTCCCTCATGTTGCAGGAATGAATCAACGCAAGCAACGTCGCGAGAGGACAACCTTCACCAGAGCTCAGCTGGATGTGTTGGAGGGACTATTCTCGAAAACGAGATATCCGGACATCTTTATGCGAGAGGAGGTTGCCCTTAAGATCAACCTGCCAGAGTCGCGAGTCCAGGTAATTATTCTTTTTTTCATATTTTTCCTTCTCGTCCTACTCGCAGATTTTATAGCTTCTAAAATATCATTGTCAACAGTGTAGAAATAATAATGGAGGCAGACGGAAAGGTCCTCTGAACTTTCAGCGAGTAAATCGCGCTCTTCACGAGATTGTCATCGTCGATTTCGCGGACGGTATGTTAACTTAACGTTTAAAGTCATTACATTCTTTGCGCGTCAAATTGCACAAAGTAAAAAGTGATACGCAACGAAAACGAGAGAGCGGGGAAGAGAAGCGGGAAAAAGGAATGAGAGAGACGGACGGGAACGCGTTTCGTGCTTCGGCAATCGCGGGCGAGATTTAAGATATTTACACAGCGCGATGTTCGCGCCCTACGTCCTTCCATTTCGCCATTGTCCCAGCCCCGCAGCTCGTACATTGATAGATGTGCCGACGAGCTCGTTGACGCTTTTATTGCGGTTCCGTGACATCTTTATTTCGCGGCGGGGCGTTACCAAGTCACGATCGCGCGGTTCTTCTTGTGCCTCGAATACTGAGCTTCAATTACGTCGCCAACCCCCGTTGTTTAGATGTAACACACAGAGAAAAGTTTCGTAATACGCGAATAGAAAAAATAAGGTTATTAATCAAAAAGTTCCGAAGAATTGAATATTTGAATATATTCAAAATTACATTTACTTACATTATACGTTATGTTTCTGTATTAATTATTAGTATACACGATTTTCCAGTCATCATTTTTACAGGTATATAAAAATTATTAAAGTGATTCTTACATATACTTTAAAGGCCGGCAGAAGTCACGAGACCTCTGTCGAAGATTTTTCTTATCCTAAATTACGATTAAAATATTAAGAAAATATAATTGCGATATTCGTAATTAGGAAAGTCGTCTGAAGAAGTGTATAGTTTTTTTTTGGAAAAAAAGAGTAAAATAAAAATTCATTCTGATATTTCACTTGATTTGCTACAATGCAGTTGAGGTGCAGATAATTTTATTTATTATAATGTTTCAAGAATCAAATTGCAAAATCGAATTCTGTACACGCCTTCACAATTTCGTAAAAAAAAGAAGACGAAAAGGTTTCATACACGAAATATTTCTACACACAGACAAAACACAGTTCCTCATTTGAGTTGAGGAACAAATTATTTTATTTATTATAAAATTTTTAAGAGTGAAATATATATTGCAAAATCCGGCTTTATCTTATAAAAATCCGGAAGTTTCTAAAAATTTAGCTAGATATAAATTTGAAAGTAATTTTTTTGAACCGTCTAAACAATTACGTAGAAATCTCAAACATGATGAACAATGCTGCAAAAAGTTTTGACATTCTGACAATCAGTTTGAGCATCCTACATAATTATTTTGGTTTAACAAAATTACTTGTCAGAACTTGAATTAATTAAATTTTTAGATATTTCAGCAAAATCATTCTTTCCATGTAGCTTCGTAAAACATAAGTCAACACAAATTTTATGAGAAAATATTTCTTCTACAAGATAATATACGATAGAGATATATATCTACAACGGAAACGAGATGTAAATGAGGTTTCTCATTTCTCGTCACTCTTGCCGGCACTTAATATTATCTTTATTAAATTATGTGTGGTACTTAAAAAAAAAAATAAAGATCATTATTTAGCCAAGTGCTCCTAGTATTTTAAAGAAAAGAAATAAACGCAAGACACGAATCATGTAATTCTCCTATACAATCATATATACTAAAGGTTAATAAACTTGTTAGATTTTTGATTGCAGTTGCCATTCACGGCGATTTAACTTCTCAAACCTCAATCCACTTTCCACGCTACTATCCTGTGTATTTTACGATTCCAGTAGCTTAATATTTCTTTTACGTACATATCCGTATATCTATGGATTTTCATATATAATCTTTTTTATAAGTCTTTAAACTTCTTTTGTATCTTTACTTAATAGATTTCGCTCATAATCCAGTGCATTTCTGTTATTTGAGTCCGTTTGAGTTACCGATGATTCTTTCGCGCAAATATCGCAGTATCGTAACTGGAATCGTAAAATATGTAGGACAGAAGCGTGGAAATTGAGTCCTGGGAAGTGAAGTTTCCGCGTGAAGTTAAGCCGCTGTGAATGGCGACGCAACTGCAAAAGGGTGTATCGCATACACGAAACACGTGTGTGTATACCTACGTGTAGCATAGCGAAGGGAATGCAATCGATGTATACGCAGGATGTATATATCGTATACGAACGACTGTGCATGTAGGGTCTCTATGCGAACGAATAATATCTGGAGGAGGGATGCTATCTGAAAGTTTTAAAGGCAGGGGAAGAGTTCAGAGGCTGGAAGATGGCTAGGGAGCAGAAGTCTGATGCAGGGCCATAGGTGTGTGTATGGATAGAGGTACACATGGTAGCGCGGCGTGCGAGGTACAACATATCGTTGATTTGTTCCTGGATTATAACCCCCGGCTCTGTCTCATTCGCTAGAGCTCTATACGAGCTTCTCTCTCGTCGAGAGAACCACGCAGCTGCGTGCAACGCGACCGATGCGATGCAACACATCGCTGAATGAGTTCCGCGTTCATCGCCGTTCGTTTATCACTTACGACCCGAGGACGAATCGGAAAATATTGTCTCGTCGATAGGAAAAAAGAAATAGCTAGGCAATTCAATCGCACACGACGGTTCTGCGTGGCTAGAACTATTGCAAAATTCTTCGATCGTTTATTACACGGGATTTTTTGCCTTGCGATATTTTATAATCGAAAATCTATGTCGAAATATAATAAGAACCCTCTAAAATCTTTGGAATCTAACTCTAAAGAGTGAACGCTTAAAAATTGAATCTTTTTTTCAATACTGATTCAATTTTTACTCAATTGTCACTCTTCAGAATTAGATTTCATTTAAAGATTTTAGAGAATAGAGAGACCATTAATGTAAAATATCTTACATGTTGGAAATATTCTATTCTATTTTTTAATTACAGTTTTGAAGCAATTTATACGTACATTTATCAACTGATTACATTTGAATGATTTATCGCATTTTATACCATGTTTTAAAATAAATAAGGTAAAAAAGATACATTAAATTTTCACAATTATCACATTGATATTTTCACGATATTTCACGGTGTGAAATAAAGTAAACATTAACAACACATGCAGCGCGAGCAGAACGTTCATCACGTTCGCATTAGCAAACAACGTCCGTGGCTCTCGCGTGCTGTTTTCTCCATCAATCCTGCGTGCTGGACGATGACACGTTCCCGGATGGGTATCGTCAGTAGGGTCATATTAATAGTACAAATAAGAAAATATATTTGTCATAACAGAGTGTCAACGCAGCTGCTCCGCCTCCCTCCCCCCTGGCTACTGGGGTGGTTTTCCGTTCGCTGGATGTAAACCAGATGGTGGCGCAATTTGCACCTCGGCCTCACCGACGGTCTCTCGTGTGTACAGGCATGAAACCGTCGGTGGTTGCCCCCGGGGGTCTCTGGATGCCATCGTGGCCTGTTTGGTTGGTTTTTGGGGATGACTCTCTCTCTCTCTTTCTCTCTCTCTCTCTCTCTCTCTCTCTCTCTCTCACTCACTCACTCACTCACTCACTCACTCACTCACTCACTCACTCACTCACTCACTCACTGCTTCTGAAGGGGGTGTCGTTGTGCAAACATACTGCTATAATGGGATCGTTCTCTGTCTGTTGCGCCAACCGTGACATAGATTCGTCTTTCTCGCTCTCTCGGAGGCTCGTTTCGTTCGCGTTGATACGCAATATCCGCGAATATCGCGCCTAACAGATTTCAGCACCCTATTGCGCGATAGAGAAGATGACTTTTGCGAAATGAGGATCTGCCGTCAAGGCGAAGTAGAAACCAAACAAATAGGAGAACAACTTGGAGACGAGCAATTATAGTCTTAGAATTGGCTCATGTATAATACTTTCCGATTTTGATGTATTGAAAAAATATGAAATTTTATTCTAATTGTTATGGATTAAATGTGACACGTAAAAAATAATTAGACTTCCAGAATTAAATAAATAATATTTACAGAAATTGCAGTAATTCTTTATACGGAAGAATAATATTTCTTATATATACATATATTCATATATGTGAGTGTATTTTATATATACATATTTTTTTAATATGTACGTTCAACAA